GCAAAAAAAAAAGAAAATTTTTAAAAAATGCCACTTCTAAAATGCCATTTTTTAAAAGTGCCAATTTTTCAAAATCTTTGCAAAAATGTCACTTTTTCAAAAAAAAAATTTCATTATATAATTTTTTATAATATTTTTTAGTCAAAACATTTTTTAGAATTTATAATTTTAAGATTTAGACTTTAAAAATTCATAATTAGTGGCATTTTTGCAAGTGAACACCCTTAACTAATGGCATTATTGCAAATGTACACACCAAAAGTGGCATTTTTGCAATTGCCTAAAAAAAAACACCGTATAACACTCACTTAAAATTATCTTAAACAAATCGTCGAAATATTTTTATCTTGTGTGTGAACTATCAGACGAAAGCATGAAATTTACGGAATTTGAGACGTTTATAATGGAGAATTGACGGTGGAAAATAGTTGTGTTAAACGTACTCCTCTATTTCACGAAAATATAATATGTGAATTTTGATAAACGCTTGAAGTTATAAAAATTTGAACAACTCATTAGCCTATCAGACTCTTTTTCCATGTCACTAAAATTCTCTTTGTTTAGCTTTTATGACCTGTTTAAAGTTTTAAGTTTCCAAAATATGTTTGTTATATATTAGAGGGGACGAATTACAAGATAGTACTACACATTTGAAGACTTTGAATGGCTTAGTTTAATGGTTGAAGGAGAAGAGACAGTGGCATGCATGGCGTGTGGTTAGTGTTAAAAGCACGATTTCTACGATATACTCGTACAAGCACACGCCACTGTCTATAATTATACGACATGGCAATCTGAATAATTACAATTAAATAATAAAAATAGAGACAAAAATTACAACAATTGATGTCAATAATGAACAAAAATAGTTTGTACTACTTTTTTTTTTTTTTTTGCTAAAATATAGTTTGTACTACTGTGGCGAGATGCTTTTCTTTAATTATTTAATTGTCTGTAGTGTGACAAATTTGATGCAATCAAAATCCTATGATAATAAATGTACAATCGACTGTTTCTGCATCATTCAAAAACAAAAGTTAACGAAGCTAGCAACTACGTTGCACTCTCGTACTTGAAGAAAACAAAAGAGTAGAAGTAGGTAGTGGAGGATATTACTTTATGTGTAATTTTTGGAGTGAGAAGACCTACGCACAATTCTTAACCGGTAGATTTGATGTATTTATTGTACAAACATGGGCCTTGTAATATTCTAATTGGCCCATTTAACCAATAAGTCCTAGCATTTGGTGTCCGAAAAGGCTAAAACTAAGCGACTAAAACAAATTTCAACCATTTTAGACCAATGACATTTTTGAAAGATATATATACAATTATGCCTTTAAATAATATGATATTTGTTTGGTTAAAGGAATCTAAAATTTTCAGCGTATAAAGATTTGATTTTTCCTCTCTAAAGCTAATAATGTTGATGGTTTGTTTGTAATATTTCTAGTCAAATTACTAACTTTTTAATGCTATCTTGCTTGTAAAGAAAAAAAAACCCAAATATTTTCATCGGCTAGCTATATATTTCAACATTTTGTGAAGTAGAAAAAACAAAACCTCTTTCAACATTCTTTTTTGTTTGTCTTTTATTTGTGATTTGATATAAGAGTGAATATATACTAGTAAATATATTCTTTTTTTTTCGAGTAGCTTTTATAAATTTTCTTCTTCTAATAAATTATTCGTTTATTCTTCATAATTCAAATTGTTCGAATCTCAAACCGCGTTAAACCGTGTTAAGGGCAAAAATGTAATTCCATTCACATTTCAAACCATCTATAAATAGAGTCGCCACTCTCACTTCTAAACTTTACTCGCCTCCTACAAATTTCAT